CCTAACTGTTAGATCTTGGACAAAAGGTTGAGTGGTCACAGTTTCCTCCCCTCAGAGACAAAGAATTTCTATTTGAAATTATAGTCGGTTTTCTAAATTTCCATTTTCACATGTTAATGAACGCTATGCAAAGTTACGGAGCATCTTGGTCCTATTACTAGTAATTCATGTCCTCTTTTTCAGCCATGTATGAGCAGACACTGTAAATACAGATCCAACATAAATGTTCCGAACAATGCTACAGCTTCTTTCTACGTCACCGTTGCTCCTGTTTCTAAAAGGGGAGCACTGGATCATGCAGGAATCATCATTTCGGCTCTTCATGTCCTTCTTGTATGAGTACTCTGCTGCAGCATCTGATTCTTTCAGACCCAAGACTGGTACAACTATTCTGGCTGTATCTCAGGTTTGAAAGTTGCCTGCATTGTGGTCCCAACCATAAGAAGCAAAATAAATAATAAGAGGCTTCAAATTAACAAAATACACTGGCATTTCAATACCACAGTAAATGTTCATTATAGTATTGAATATGCCCAGTGTGTTTGTTTGAAGTGAGCCTTCTTATGCAATCTTATTCCATTCTCCTGTTTCAGTAAGGCTTTTACTGGACCAGAAAGATCTTCTGGTATCACTCCTCCTTTCTTTGTATCAGCCTCTAAGCTGGCAGAGTCAGCAATGAGCTGGGACTTCATCAGAATCTGGCTTTTTCCTTAGAAGTTCCATTAAGTCATTCGGAATCACAAGGTTTCTTCAGGCAGCCCTGTTCAGTCATTTTATGATGACCTTCTGGTCAGCAATTGGCATGGATAATAGAAACAGTAATGTAGTTTGCTAAGTATGGACATCAGTTGGGGTTTCTGCAGGTTTTGCTTCTATCAATGACCCAATTTGAACTTGTAGAGAAAAAAAAACCCAGCATATATAAACTTGAGACATACTTTGAATCACAGGTACTCATACCTATGCATCTTCCATGAAACAGGAATGCTATCTGTGAGCATAACAAATTCTTCATTGTGCAAAGCAATTTTCCTGATCATTTGCACCACAATAACTGCACATAAGGGTTATATTTCTGTCCCCCTGTTAAATGTGCTTAAGCATTCTCCATTTTTCACCTTTTACATCACACAGGCACACCCTCCCTCTGTGAGGACTTTTATTCCAATGGCTCTAAGCAATGGCCAAGTTGGCTGGGGAATTATGGGAGGTGAAGTCTACACATATGAAAATAATTCTGATTGGGGAAGGCTGGCTGTCATGTATAAAACAGAATCCAAAAGCACATCAGGAAATTACTATGGTGAAGGCATGAAAGCTACACATTCTGCACACTCAGCCTCAGATCAAGGTTCAGGCAAACTTATTTCTCAGAAATTTGCGTAAGATTGGGTTACATGAAACTTGAGTTGTGAAGCAGGAAATCAAGGCTACTGCTATGAACTCACAAACGGGCCTCAGACAAGCCCCTTTCTCAGAGACTCAAGATACTTCTGCCAGATCACTTTTAACAGCTGACTCAGAGAGTATATGCCAATAGGAGTGAAGCCAAACAAGGCCATCACATATCAAATGAATCAAGGGGTCAGCTGACTTCAACGGGATCCAGCCAAGATGGATACAAACAGAGCCGTTTCATACTTTAAAGCAATGTTTCTCAACCTTGGCAACTTTTAGATATGTGGACTTCAGGTCCAGAATTCCCCAGCCAGCATGCTGGGACTTGAAGTCCACGTATCTTAAAGTTGCCAAGGTTGAGAAACATTGCTTTAAAGTCATCGTATTTTATGCATTATGCTTGGATTCACTGCCTTATAGGCACACATGTCCAAACAATCAGACATCCACAACAGGGAGTCACCCCCTCAGTCAACATCTAGCAGCACTACTAAGCACTGGAACGCCAAACATTTGCTTGGTGGGATATGTTCTATTCAGTGGGTTCTACCTTGGATTAGTACCTAGCCAAACTAGACTATCCTGAAGAAGTCGATCAGAGTCAGACCTGGTCAGGACGTGGATAGAAGACCACAGAGTAATTCCAGGTGTGTAGACTGAGAATTAAAGAGCATCCTGGGAAAGGGCAATGGCAACTGACTTCCATCTTATTGCCAAGAAAACAATACAGATGTTTCCATCTAGGTACCAGGAGATGATCTTGACTTGAGGGTGACTTCACCTTTGCTCATATGATGGGGAACACAATCATTGTAGGCAATAATGGAGGTGACCTTTACAGAAATACGCAAGAACCATTACCTAGGCAAAAGAGGCTGATCCATTCTTAAAGACCTGGGAAACAAGACAATATTTGGAAGCAATTTATGCAGATACCCCTTTGATTCACTGATAAGCAGGCTTGCAAGATTCTGTTGTTATAGCCAAACTCAATAAAGTGTAGTTCTGATCTTCCTGTGGAGTGATTTCCTGTTCTGGCCTACCTCATGGGGCTGACAATCATGTCAAGCAAATGGACAGGCTGCCGCCTGCAAAATGATCCTCTAAAGCAGTGTTGTCCAAACTTGGCCACTTTAAGATGAGTGGACTTCAATTCCCAGAAT